TTATCAAGCAGCAATGACACACTAATCTTCCACCAATAGTATTGTTTTGTAACATTATTTTGTGTTATTGCTGCTGATAGGAGTGTTTCATTTTTCCACAAGAGATATTATTTAAGATATCTTGGGATCATGGGGAATTCTACCCTCTGGGCTTTTTTGAAGTTCTTTCTTTGTGCATTTAAGGAAAAAAAAAAACTCCCCAAAGGCTGTACAAGTATTAGAAGGTCCTGATAATCTCTATGTGTTTTTTAAACTTGGGTGTGGATATGGCAGGTCTTAGGATAATGTGTAGATCCTATGTCAGTGTGTTTACACATTCTAAAACTGGCACTCAGGTTGTTTATAAGGAGCATCAGAGACTAGTGGCCAGCTATGGTCAAGAAGTGAGGAACATCTGTGTCCCTTGGGTATGTTTACTCATTCATGACAATTAGGTCCATGCCTGTAACTTATAAAAATTTTAGCTATGATGCCAACAGAGAACTGATACACACCTGAACATAGCTTTCAAGGCATTTGCAGTCAGGCAGGGGAGACAGAGGCTGATAAACAAACAGGTGAAATAAAAGGAGGTCATGACAGAGATGGAGGTAAGAGTCACTTCTTCTCCATTCATGAGGGCTCATGGGAGTGAAGACCTTGGGCTTCTCATTCTGGATTCTCAGCAACATGAAGTAAACCCATCATATCGCTGTCCTCAGCCACACTTGGGCAACAAAATCAAGTTGTTTTTTTTTTTCTTTTTTTTTTCCTTTTCCTCCTAGGATACAGTAGACACAGTGTGTGGATAATCAATACAACATTCTCCCCTTCTGGATGATAAAGATGGCATGTCATGCAGGCCAGGTGTTTGAGTTGCAGTGAGAAATGTATATCCTGGGGCAGCTGTGGAATGGAACAGGCAATTCCACCAGATGATGAGATGCACTGCTATTAAACCGGTGTCTGCTAATTTACTATTTTTTGGTAAAATCACATTTTATATTATATTTTATTAAATCCCACATTATACTAAATATATAAAAAATAAAATAGATGCATTTAAGTTTCCTACTTAAACCTCATTGCTTACTTTCCATCCTCACTGCATATGTTACCAGTATTTTCATTGCTGAGAATGACATTATTTGTTAAGGAAAGGATTACAAACCCTAGATCAAAGATGGTGGAGGAGTGAGTGGAATGCACACTAACCTGCTCCCATGACCAAACTAATTTGCGGAGAAATCATTTGGAATTAACAACTGAACAACAGTGAGAAAGAAGCCTAATAATCATGGACATAAAGAAGAAACAGCATCGATACAACATGACTGGTAGGGACTGCAGTGGAGATATGAGATGGCTGGCTGGGTGTCCAGGTTGGGTGGCAGCTGAAGTACTCGAGGGATGTTTCAGTGGCTGAGGGTATTCTTTGGAGAAGTGTAAGGTCTAAATCCCAAGCTGGGTTCCGCAGACTATAACACCACTATAACACAGACTATAACACTGTGAAAAGTACACAGATAACAACCAGCTGCAAAAAGCAGCAGGGTTTCTCTCTGCCAGAGACTGCTGGTGGTGCAAAGAGCCATTTAAAATGCCAATGCATAAGTTTTCATTTACAGTCACTTACCCTGGTCTCTAGCAAAGGAAGGTGGGTGGGCAGAATGGACTAGAGATAGTTGAGGAGAGACTGGGGATGGTGGTTTTTGGGAGATAAATGAGAAGACAGTCATTAGGATCCCAGCGCTCAGTCATTCCCCATACTGCAGTACCATCTTACTCAGGCAGACTACTCCCTCCCAAGGGGCAGCAGCCTCAGGGGAAGCAATAACCCCACCCCCAGGAGTTGCTTTTCTCTGCCCTGTTGTGCTTAAGCCTGACTGCTGATTGCAGAGTGACTAGATTAACAACTGAAGGAGTCAGCCACAGACAGTAGACCTGATAGTCTCCAACAGGCTGCTTTAGGACAGAGGGGGTCACCATATGATATCACCATAAGTGGATCCAAAAGAAAAAAAAAACAGTGATAGATATTAGATGTTATTGAGATGGAATCTACCATGGTGTTCTCCAAGATTTGTGATATTTTCTTTCCTGCATATTTTTTCAACATTCATTTCTTGTCCTTCAAGTTTATGCACATTAAGTCACTAGATTTTATATTATAGTTTACTTCAATTCTCATATTTTGATCCTTCTTTCTCTTACCCCATTTTACCTTCTTATTTGTTCTTATTATTTTTCTTTTAAATTTTGCTCCCTCTCCCATTACAACTTATTTCTATTCTGCACGTTTACTGTGTCCCCCCCATCTAACCTCTCAAAATCAATTTGCTTGTCATGGTCATCTCACATTCTTTTTCCTGCTCTTAAAATACCATCATTCTCTCTCCACCTTTAGCAGCTTTTGCTCATTGGATGTGGGTAGGGTAGTTGTTGTTGCATTGTTTTTGACTTTATCTTCAGATCTTCACTATTTTTGTATATCAAATCTCAAATTTTATGATTTCCCACTTCTACTCCATTCTGCCTTCATCCAACCCATTGTTTTTTCCATATCAAATTTTAACATTTTCTTGTCTTAGACTCCTTGTTTTTTTTTTTTTTTCCTTTCATCCTGCCCTTTTACTTTTCATCTCAAATTTTAATGTCCCATTGTCTTGGCCTGATTTTCATTCCTCACTCATAGTATTCCCTCTCCATCAATCTCAAAAATAATTTCATTTCCTCTATACATCTCTTAACCTTTCCTTTATTTCTTTCCTTCCATCCCTCTAATTCCCATCCCACCTATATTAATATTAGCTCATTTTTTTTGTTAATATTGCTGTCGTGGATCATTTTCTTCAGTTTGGTTCCTAGTTTTTAAATTATTTATTTTTTTTCCTCCTTATTTTATTTATTATTATTTTTTTTATTTTTTAAAGAATTTATTTATTTGTTTTTAGAGAGGGGAAGGGAGGGAGAAAGAGAGTGAAAGAAACATCTATGTGTGGTTGCCTTTCTTGCACCCCCTACTTGGGACCAGGCCCAAAACCCTGGCATGTGCCCTGACTAGGAATCCAACCAGCAACCCTTTGGTTCACAGGCTTGTGCTCAGTCCTCTGAGCTGCACCATCTAGGGCTATTTTTTTTTTAATTCTGTTTAAACCTAATACTATATACTTCTTTTCTCTTACTCCATTCAGCCTTATTCGTTATATATATATATATATATATATATATATATATATATATGATGTCAATTTTACATTCTCTCTTCTCACTGCTCCGATTCACTACTCTTATTAGTGCTACGACCTCTACCCTCACAAAATGATTTTGCTTTCAGTAGGTCATCTCATATTTGCTCTCCTTTCCTATAATACTGTTAATCCCTTTATACCCTTATTAATAATGTTATATTTGCTGTTGATAGTGGGATTTCAGGTGAGAGGTATTTTTGCAAGTCTGAACTTGTATCCTGGGCTATCTGGTTTTGTTATGGCAGTATCTGCACAATGGCATATGGGACCGGGTAGATGGGGTGACCTTCAGTAACTACTTGGAGGAAAGGACCAACCAGAGGACAACCCCCCAAAAATCAAAACCCAATTACATTCAGGGAGCCAACATAATATGGCATTAAGGACACCCCAAAAACATCAAGATCAGGAGATCAAGGAAACTGAACTAGTGAATACCACAGGTCACCTACCACAAAGATAAGGAAACGCAGATAATTTAAGAAAGAGATGCAAAACAAGAAGAATCTTTCATAAAATGAGGAGCAAAATAAATTACCCAAAATCAAAAGGAAGGGGTTAATCCCCAGAAAGAGTGCTAAGTGAAATACAGGCAAGTAAACTATAATATATATTGTTAAAAACAGTGGTTATAAGGAATCTCAATAAGTTAAGTGAGAATTATGAAGAACTAAAGGGAAGCTAAAAGGAACCAACTGTGAGATACATCATCATGATAAAGGACATAGAAACTATCAAAAAGAGCCAAGAGGAAATGAAGAATACAATTTTTTAATGAAAGAGTACAGTACAAGGATTTAAAAAGCAGACATGAAGCATAGGATCAAATCAGCAAGCTGGAGGACAAGGTTGAAAAATATTCTCAGAAAGAGCAATGAAAGGAAAAAAAAAAAACTCCAAAGGAGAGAAAAAGGGTTGAGTGAGTTGCAGGACATCATGAAACATAATTATATCCATATAAGACGGGTGCCAGAAGGAGAAGAGGAGCAAAGGATGAAGAACCTGTTTGAAAAACTAATGATGGGAAAGTTCCTTAATTGGAGGAGAGAAAAAGTCACACAAGTCCAAGAAGCACTGAGGGTCCCATTCAAGAGGAACCCAATGAGGCCCACTTCAAGACACATCATCATTAGAATGGTAAATATCAGAGACCAACAGAGAATCCTAAAGGCAGCAATGGTGGAACAGGTAGTAACATACAAAGGAGCCCCAATATGGCTAGTAGCTGACTTTTCAACAGTAACATTCCCAAAAAAGGGAATGGCAAGAAATATTCCAGGTAATGAAAAGCAAAGGTATTCAACCCAGAAAACTCTACCAAGAAAGAGTCTAATTTAAAATTGAAGGAAAAATAAGGAGTTCCCCAGACAAAGGATGTATAAAAGGATACACTTCTACCAAGCTTGCATTGCAAGACATGGTAAAAGGACTGCGTTAAGAAGATTAGGAAAACAGTGAGAGGTAGAGGAATACAGGTACAAAGGGTGAAAAAGGCAATTCATAAGTATCTATCAGTAATAATCTTAAATGTAATTGGATTAAATGCTCCAATCATTTAGCATAATGTTCCCCAGTTCCACCCATGTTGTTACAAAGGGTAGGACTCCTTTCTTTCTTCTGCATAGTATTTGGTTGTGTAAATGTACTATAGTTTTTTGACCCACTCAGTTACACATAGGCACTTAGGTTGCTTCAAGCACTTGACTATTGTAAACTGTGCTATCAACATTGGGGTGCATAGGTATTTTAAATTGGCGTTTCAAGATTATTACAGTATAATCCCAGCAGTGGAATTGCCTGACCAAAAGGAAGTTCCATTCTTAGTTTTTCAAGGAAATTCTATGCTGCTTTCCAGAGTGGGTGTACCTGTCTGTATTTCAACCAAAATATACTAGGGTTCCATTTTAAATTGATAAGAACAAATACTACACTTGATCTTAGCCAAAAGACCAAGAAGCAATACTACTAGGGCTCCATTTTATCCACAACCTCATTAGTGTTTGTTATTTGTTGATTTGTTAAAGATAGATATTCTGGTTGGTGTGAGGAGGTATCTCATTGTGCTTTTTTAAAAATCGAGTTTATTCTATTACAGTTGCTTCTATTTTTCCCCCTTTACCCTCTTCCACCCATCCCAACCCCCTGCTCTCACAGTCAATTACAACTCTGCTGTCCATGTCCATGGGTCATTATACATGTGCTTTGGTTAGTCCCTTCCCTTTCTTTCCACTATTTCCCCCCTTCCCAATCTCTCTGGTCACTTTCAGTCTGCTCCATGTTTCCATTCCTGTTGTTTATTTTGTTTGTTACTTTATTTTGTTAAATAGATTCCATTTACAGGTGGGAAGGTATGGTGTTTGTCTTTCACCAACTGGCTTATTGCACTTAGTATAATATTCTCAATTTCCACCCATGTTGGAGATCCTTATATCATTTTTATTCTGTAATGCAGAATTTATTTATTTATATATTGTTTAAATGTCAGAATCCATTATAAAATATTTAAAAACTTAAATCCATTATAAAGACTCAGCAGATAAAACAACATGATACCAGCATAGAAATAATACAGTAGATCAGTGACACAAAATGAGCATTCTAGAAAAAAAAACATATATATCTGTTGAACAATGTAATATATATTTAAACTGATATTTCAAATAAATGGGGTAAATAAGGATAATTCAACAAATAAGGTGCATGGACCACTGTTACTTGAAATAAAACAAATATAGAGCCTTATTTCACACACTGTACAAGAAATATTCAGGTGAGTTAAAAATCAATATATAATATCTAAGGAGTCTACAGAGAACTTACAAAATAATATTTTTTCTTATCCTGAAGTAAAATAGTCAAACCAGAAACTATAAAGTGAAATATTGACACTATGACTCTATTAAACAATTATGACTATGCAGTAATATACATATAAAAAAGTTAAGGACAAGTCAAAGAAAAGGAAAGTACTTTCAACACATCTAAAAAAAGGGTAATAGTTGTTTTTTTTTTTTTTTGATTTTAGGGAAAAAAATTCAACAAACCTTTACTCAAAAAATGGACAAAGAATACCAAGAAAAAAATCATTTAAAGCTTTTTAGTCAGCAAGATATATACAAAAATAGGTTTCATTTTAACAAATACTAAAAGAACTATTAAAATAACACATCATTGTCACAATCAGATTAATGTGTATTAAAACTATTGGTAATATTAAAAAGATGGCAGAGGAGTGAATAGGAGTCACACTGAACTCCTCCCAAGACCAAACTGGAATTGCAAATAAATAGTGGAGAAATCACCTGGAAAACAATGGAATGATAGTGGACAGGAGCCTTAGAGCCATGGACAGACAGTGGATTTGACTCTCACACATTCCAACAGGTGAGAAGTGCGGTGGAGGCTCGAGAGGGTGAGTTGGGTGTCCACGGGCACGAGCACCACAGGGACATTGAAACGTCCAGTTAGCTACCCCTGAGAGGAACAAGGTGTGAATCATAAACAGGGACCTCTAAACTACAGCAGCTAGAACCTAGAAAATACAGACAAAACGCAACCCCGAAAAGCTTATGGGCGCTCTCTGCCAGAGACAGGTGACTGGGGATGCAAAGAGACATTTAAAGGGCCAACGCAAAAATTGCAGTGGCAGCCACCCTCCTTGATATCTGGGTAGAGGGGGAAGCAGGGTGGGCTGGTGCATGGGAAAAGACTATTGAGGAAAATTTTGAGAACTGAGATGGCTTCCGGTGGAGCCCCAGTGATAACGCACCTCCCACTCTGCAGCTACCATCTCGCTCAGGCACAAGGGAATCAATTAACCTGCCTTTTGTGCGCTCCGCACACAGTTTGTATGCGTGTGAGCTGGGGGGCTGAGTGCAGACTGGTTGGGAGATCCTTGAGGAGAGACTGGAGACAGAGGCATTGGGGAAAGAACGGGATGAGGAACTGGGAATTCCTGACTCCCTCCCAGTGCTGTAGTCTCCACTGTGGAATGGAAAGGAGCTCCCCCAAGAGGCAGAAGTGGGGCACGCGGAACCAGACTGCCCAAGATTGAAACGCAAACCACACAGGTGGTGGATCCACAGAACTGCACAGAGACCCCTGAGGAGAGACTTGAAACGGAGGCATTGGGGAAAGGATGGGAGGAGGAACCGGGGAGTCTCCACTCCTTCTCCTTTCCCTAGTCCCCACTGTGCAGGAAGAGGCCACACCCCCAAAGAGCCAAAAGCTAAAAAGCACACAATGGACACCCCAAAACCACCCAGTGGAAGCGTGAACACGTGTGCCCAGTGGCCAAGGAGGGTAGGCGAGCACGTGTGTGGACCCATGTGGGCTGGCAAGGGCTCGCATGGGCTGGCAAGGACTCCCATAGATTGGCACTGATACGGCCTGTAAAGGAGTGAACAGAGCGGTGAGGGCAGGTGTAAATTGACCTGTGTGGCCCGAGATTGCAGAGCGGTTCACAGAATTAGTAGATCCCAGGCTGATGGGGTCACAGAGCTGCCCAGAGTACCTGGAGGAGAGACCGGAGACAGGATTAACAGGAGAATACTGGAGCTGACTTCCTACCATTTCTGTAGTCTCCATTTGGTGAGGGCAAACAAGGCACTCAAAGAGAGAAAGCGGGGAAAGCACACAATAGAAGATGCTAAACTGACCAGGGCCGGGGCCCGATGGCCAGGGGGAATAGACAACTACACAAGGACACGAATAAGCCCCCTGGCCTGGGGCAAGCACGCATGAGCCTAGGTGGGCTGGGGATCCTGATGCACTGGGAAGCGCGTTAAAGGAGCCGGCGTGAGACTGCAGAGCGATCCAAACAAATAGTCCAACCCTGACTGAAGGGGTCACAGAGCTGCCCCAAACAGGATTCAGACACAGACAATAGACTCCTGGAAGGCTCAAACAACCCAAGGTGCTATAGGGTCAACAACTGACATCATCAGAGGCAGGCCCAGAAAAAAAAGTAAAGGACAAAAATACTTAACAGACTCTCACAAAAATGGGAAGAAAAAGAAGTTTCCCCCAAAGGAGTGGAAAAGGGGACTCCCCACAGAGAGAGCTAAATGAAATAGAGGCAAGGGAACTATCAGATAGTGAATTCAAAACAATGGTTCTAAGGAAGCTCAATGAGCTCAGCCACCTCAAAGAGAACTATGAGAAACTGCAGAGAAACTATCAGGATCTTACAGCAAACTATATCAGCCTGAAAAAGGACATAGAAACTATCAAGAAGAAACCAGATGATATGAAGAAAACCATTTCTGAATTGAAGAACTCACTGAAAGAATCCAAAGCAGGTTGGATGAAGCTGAGGATCAAATCAGTGACATGGAGGATAAGGTAGAAAGAAGCTCCCAGAAAGAACAAGAAATGGAAAAAAAACTCAAAAAGAATGAAGAGGAATTTAGGGAAATGCAGGACAACCCGAAATAGAATAATATCCGTATAATAGGGATACCAGAAGGAAAGGAAGAGGAGCAACAGATAGAGAACCTCCTTGAAAAAAAAAATGATGGAAAATTTCCCTAATTTGAGGAAAGAAAGGTTCTTGAGGATCCAGGAGGCACAGAGGACCCCACTCTAGAGGAACTCAAGGAGGTCAACTCAAAGACACATCATCATTAAAATGGCAAATGTCAAGGACAAAGAGAGAATCCTCAAGGCAGCAAGGGAGAAGGAGAAAGTAACATACAAGGGGAACCCGATATGCCTAGGAGCTGACTTCTCAACAGAAACACTACAAGCCAGAAGGGAATGGCAAGAAATATTTCAAGTCATAAAAAGCAAGGGCCTACAGCAAAGGAAGCTCTACCCAGCAAGTCTCTCATTTAAAATAGGAGGGGAAATAAAGTGTTTCCTAGACAAGAGAAGGGTAAAAGAATACATCTCTACCAAGCCAGCACTCCAAGATATGCTAAGGGGACTGGTTTAAGCAGATGAAGGAAAAGAATGAGACAGAGAGGAACACAGGTACAAAGAGAAAAGATGAGTAAGTTTCTATCAGTAGTATCTCTCAATGTGAATGGACTAAATGCCCCAATCAAAAGACACAGGGTAGCTGAATCGATAAGAAAACATGACCCACACATATGCTGCCCCCAAGAGACCCACCTCAGAGCAAGAGACCTACCCAGATTGAAAGTAAAGGGATGGAAAAAAATATTCCAAGCAAACAGGCAAGAGAAAAAGGCCGGGGTTGCAATACTTGTACCAGACAAAGTAGATTTAAAAACAAAAGCCATAAAAAGAGACCCATATAAATTTTTGAAATGTCTGTTCTATTTCTGTGAAATATGTCATTGGTATTTTAATAGGGATTGCTTTGAATCTATAAGTTGCTTTGGGTTGTATGGACATTTTGATGATATTAATTCTTCCAATCCATGAGCACGGTATATGCTTCCATTGATTTGTGTCTTCCTTAATTTCTTTTTCCAATGTTGTATAGTTTTCTGCATACAGGTCTTTTACGTCTTTGGTTAAATTTATGCCTAGGTACTTAATGTTTCTTCTTGCTATATCGAATGGTATTTTTTCTCTGATTTCTTCTTCTTCTATTGCATTGTTGGTGTAAAAAATGCCTTTGATTACTGAATGTTGACTTTGTATCCTGTTGTTTTCGCAAATTAACTTATTAGGTTGAGCAGTTTTTTTCGTAGAGTCTACAGGGTTCTTCTATGTACACTATCATGTCATCTGAAAACAATGATAGCTTTACTTCCTCCTTTACTACTTGTATGCTTTTTATCTCTTTCTCTTGTCTGACCGCCGTGCCTAGGACTTCCAATATGATGTTGAAAAGAAGCGGTGAGAGAGGACATCCCTCTCGTGTTCCAGATCTTAGTGAGAAAGCTTTCAGTTTTTGCCTGTTGAGTATGATATTGGCTGTATGTTTTTCATATATGGCCTTTATTAAATTGAGAAATTCCCCATTTATTCCCATTTTGCTGAGTGTCTT